CGCCGTGCGGCGTGCCGGGAGGGTCCCCCGGGCTCCTTTGCCTTCTGGGCCCGCCGCAGGCGGCACCTGTGGGCGTGCAGAGGCTCGTGAATAAAGGCAGTGGCACCCGCGGCCGCCTGGTCTGTGCCCCGCGCCCGTGCGAGGTGGGCTCGGAGCCCAGATCCGTCTTCACGGGGGACGGAGGGGAGCGGGGCCCCCAGAGGGAGTCTGGCGCAGCGTGCACCAGCCTAGCTCCCAGCCGAGGTGAGCTGACCTGGCGCCCCCAGGGCGCGGAGGGGGCGCCCTATTGCACTTGACCCTCAGAAGTGCAAACGGCAGCTGCCGGGCTGGAATTTATTCCTGGAACACCCTTTCCCGCAGCGTGTCCCGGGGCCGGAGGACGCTCTGGGCGTGGAGCCGGGGGGCGCTGGCTGCTGCTGGCCCGGGCCACTCCCTGCAGTCACGGGGTCCGGCCTGGGCGTCTGCTGGGCCTCGGGGACCCTGGTCTTGGGCGGGGCCTGCGGCGTCCCGGCTACAGGTCTGTCCGGCAGGCCCGCCCGGCCCGGGCAGCTCCTTCTCTGCCCGCTGAGCATTGGTCTGCGGCGGTTGTGGGCCGGGACGAAGGCCCCTCCTGGGCTGCTGCCCGACAGGGTGCAGAAACGCCGCGGGGTGAGCTTGCAGTGTTGAAAATGGCCTGGGTCTCGGCCGGCGCCCGCTCCCGGGGTTCCTGGTTCTTCCTGGCCAGTGGGAAGAGGAGCCAGACTGGGGCGCTCCCCGCCCCTCCCTGGCCTGGGGCTCTGGCCTCGCCCAGTGAGTGGCTTTGCCTCCTGGGCCTGCAGCTCCCTGCAGGCCCCTGGGGGGCTGCAGGCTCAGCTCAGTGGAGTGGCCCTAAGGCGGCAGCAGCTGCTGAGGCAGGTGGGCCAGGTGGAGGGTCCCTGAGCCCAGCCCACCGAGGAGCAGCCTCCCTGAGGCCGCCCTGCAGGGCCAGGCTGGGCCGCATTAGGCTTCTTCCTTGGAGTTGGCCCCAAGGCTTTGGTTCACATGCAGGAGGCCCAGGTGGGGGTGGTAGCCTTGCCTTCTTGGCCCACTTAAGGGCTCTCAGAGTGCACCCCACCTTTGCAGGCCCTGTGAGGGCCACGTGTGCCCTCCAGCGCATCACCGCCTTCCGCAGACAGCGGGCTCCAGGAGGCGGTGGCAGCTTGGGTTGCCCAGATGTGGGAAGGGCCTGGCCAGCTTGAGGGCCTGATGGGGTGCGAAGGCCTGGTGGCGCCAGTGGAAGCTGAGTGGGAGGCCTGGACTCCTGTGAGTCCGGGAAGCCTTGGGGCTCGGGGGAGATGGCAGTCACTGGGGTGTGGGTCTCTGTTGGACAAAGAAGGGAGGAGGTGGCCTGGCCCCTGCCCCTTCCCTGCAGGTGGTGGAGAGCAACGCAGAAAGAGCGGTGGGGGGCTGGGCTGAGGGCTGCCAAGGTGTGCAGGGGGCGGCCACGGGCGCTGAGCTGGGGCAGTCTTCCCCACGTCTGCACCTCGGCCTCACCTTCGCAACATCTTCCAGTCTGTTTCTGTCTCAGAAGCGCGCTGTGAAGCCCCGTTTTCCCGCCTTGGTGTCCTCCTGCTCCGCCCAAGCCTTCTCCCCTTTAGACAGTGCCCCCCCCCCCGTCACAGCAGTATCGATTATTTACGGCGTCTGTGTTCAGAGCTGAGCCCTTTAGTGTTCAAATTTTTTGTTTTCCTTGGAGTTATTAATTGCCTTCATTTTTCACTGGTGGACTTTTCCATGTACTAAGTCCCCACCTTTCCACAGCTCCTCTCCATCTCCTCTTGGCAGTTCAGTCACTGATCTCTTGAGGGTATCTGCGCCCGCCGTACCCCAGGGCTGCTTGAAGCCCTGTCCCCCAAGGGGCCCTCTGGAGGTCCCCCCCGTTAGTGTGGCGGACCCTTGCCGTGCTCACATCACCAGTAGCTGTGCGCGGGCCCTGCTGGAAGGGACCCACTTTCTCTCGGGGGAGGCCCTGGTTGAGTGCAAAGGGAGGTGGAGCCAGGGGCACAGCCCCTCCCACGATGCCGGAGGGTGTGGGTCCCGGGTAGGAGAGTCGGTTCCCTGCCTGCCCCCTCTGTCCACCTGTGAGGCCGCCTCGTCACAGCCAGTGTTACTGGTTGGGCAAGTACAGCCCTTGAGTGGCCTCCACCTTCACTGGCCTGCTCCAGTTCTCTTGGGGACAGGGACAGGGGTGAAGCAGGACAAGGGCAGAGGGAGTCAGGATGGGGAGGGTTGTCCAGAGGCCCCTGGGTGAGCAGCACCCCCGAGGCAGTTACCAGCCCAAGCTCAGCTGGCGTGAAGGAGAAGGTGCCCGCCCTGCATTGGCTCGTGCCCACACAGGCCCTGGGCGTGGAGGGCCGGCAGGGCGCCTGTGGGGAGGGGCTCGTGGAGCCAGGGACCGGGGCATCTGGGACAGGAGGCTCAAGGTTGAGGGCCTCAGGTCCTGCCCTGCCACGGTCCTGCTCTGCCACTGCCCCGTGGGAGGTGCCCCGGGATCACACTGCCCACTGACCCAGAGTGCCTGCCCTAGGGAGCCCCTACACCCCTGCCCCATCGGTCAGGGCAGGCACGGCACCCGTGGGGCCCCCTCAGGAGGGCCCTGGTGCCTGGTGGGGGAGCGAATCTATTTACCTTTCCCGAGAGGCCGCCTGTCCTTTCGTTTGCTCCAGTTAGCCGGGCTCTGCCTGGGCGGCCCCAGCCCACGTGGCCAGCGGCGGCCCTGGGGCCCTCCCTCTCGGCCCCTTCCTCCTGGCTCAGCCCCGCCTGCGGGAGGCCGGGCAGCCAGGCTCTGCTCCCTGGGCCCCCTCGCCCCACTGCGTCCTGTTGTGAGGCTGGACGCGCAGTCACCAGAGCTGGATGCAGCCAAGGCCGGCCAGGCCAGGGCAGGAGGGCAGCGCAGCTGCAGGCCAGAGGCCATCACCATCCCTGGGGCCCCTGCTGGCGAGGGGTGGGGACAAAATAAAAGGGGGCTGCCCCCACTGGACTGAGGGGGCGAGTGCGCCCCACTGGAAGCGGGACAAAGGCGTGCTGCCGCCCACCCCGCAGTCTGGGACCCTGCGGATCCCGCTCAGTTCACTTGTGAATGGGGCGCCTCCGGTGGCCCCTCTGTCCACTCAGGGCCAGGGTGCACTGCTCAGCTCTTTATTGAGGACACACATTGCACCCACAGAGCCGCTCCCACGCCCCCGGGCTGGCAGGGGAGGGGTGCCCCCAGCACTCTGGGTTCAGGCGTCCAGTCCTGGACAGTGTGCACTGCCTCTGGGCGCCAGGGGCTTCAGAAGGGGCACTCGGCCAGCCTGGGGCTGCAGCCGGCCCGGCAGGTCTCTGAAGGGCGGTTCTGGTCACCCCCTGACAGCAGCAGCTTCTTGCCAGGGGCCTGGGCGGGGGCCACGAGGCTGGCAGGGCGCTGCTCCCGCAGGACCCATCCCAGGCGCCGCCGGTGCCAGCGCCGCAGTAGTTCCGACTGCACCTGGCGGGCAGGTGGCCGTTGGGACCCTCGGCCCCTCCCTGGGGTGCCCAGCCCCACCGGATGGCGCTGCGCCCCAGGAGGCCGGGGCGGCCCGGCGCGCGGGGAGGGCCGGCACCTCGCCCGCCTACCTCCTTGTTGAGGAAACAGTACAGAACTGCCACCAGCAGGCCCTGCGGGGAGCAGAGCGCGGTCAGGGCAGGTGCGCGGCCCAGGCCTGGTCGAGGGGCCCTGCGGGGACGTGGGGGCGCAGCCGCACCTGGAAGGAGCTGAAGAAGAGGTCGAAGAAGAGCTTGGCCGAGCGCAGGGCGCCCTGCGCGTGCTCATCCGTCACGAAGGCGAACACCACCTCGTGGACCCCCAGCAGGGGGATGAGGGTCAGTGTGGACTTGGCCAGCCTGTGGGGGCGCAGCCTAAGCGCTGGGCCCTGGGGACCCTCCTGGCCCTGCCCGGTCTGGGGCCCACGGGCGCCCCGCACCCACCGGAGCTTGTAGTCCGAGTGCTGCATCTGGCGCGCGCGCAGCTTGGCCACCAGGATGCGGAGGGTGCGGACGAAGACGAAGAAGTTGATCTGGGGGCGAGGCGGGTCAGGGCACCGGGCCCGCGGGCCGCCTCCCGGCCCCCCCAGGCAGCACGCCCGCCGCGGAGGCGGGGCGCCCTCACCAGGATGGCCATGAAGACCGGGGCGCGCACGATCCACCAGACGCCCATGTGGTCGTTGCGGGTCCAGCACCTGCGGAGTGGGCAGCTCACTTCCGGCCCGCCCTGGCCGGCCGGCCCAGTTAGTGCCTCGCGGAAGGGCGGGGCCCACGCCGGGCCCCAGGTCTGCGCCGCCCGCGCCCACGCCCGGCCCCGCCCGCGTCCACTCACTGGATGTTCTCAAACAGACCCTTGAGCACCGCCCAGGGGGCGACGAACAGCACAGGAGCCCCTGCGGGGGG